AACGCACATTCACATCTTTGAAGGTTTGCAACTTGAAGTTTCATATGTAGGAAACTGACTGTAATAAGAACATGTAATTAGTATTACCATTTTTTTTGAAGTAACAACTTTAGTGCACTGAGAGAACAAAAGATGAATGAGAGTCTCTATATTGCAAGGTGCTCACAATTGAGTTAGCAATATAAAATCAATGCAGAGAAATAATTGAAAGTTAAAATATGTGACAATTTAGTGCCAGCTTCTACACATTTTAAGACTATAGACACTGAGCAACACCTATGTGGGCTATGGAAAATGAGATGGATCTAGTTTGTGGAAGGTGACCTGGCAAGGCTGAGTCCTTGGGCCAAACTGAGCTGAGAGCTCCAAAATCCATGTAGGGCATGTGGCGAGCAGTGCAGAGATGAGAGATGTCAGTTCACAAGTATAAAAGGAAATAAAATAAGATTCAGAGACAGGATTGGTAATTCCACAGAGACCTTAAGCTGGCTTCCAATGTTAGGATACCTGCAGGTCAGCCCTCTGCATGCCTGGCAGCAGGGATTCATGCATAAACCCTACTTGACAATTGCTGCTTCTATTCACTCATGTATGAAGAGTCATTCCATAAGGCCTTATTATCCCCCCACCCATGGGACCAGAAAAATGGGAAGAAGATGTGACATGAATCTTATCAGGGCCAGGGCCCACCCTGAAAGGGAAGATCACTCCAGAGATTGTCCCTAACAGCCAAACCAAGTTGGTTCTCCAAAGTGTTATTCTCAGGATTAGGAAATGATCTATCTCAGTAATGAGGTCTCCAGGAGCTCTGCTGTTTGGATTGTGTCTTCTGCCATTGATCACTTGGGAGCAGTAAGTGTTCTTTGGGGGAGAGAGACATCTAGCATCTGGGACATACAATTTGATTCAAAACACCCAAGTCAACATTATTGCTTTGTGACCTCAAAATGAGGGTTTTTTCAGTGGGGTTATGAAAATCTAGGGGAACTTAAAGTGACTTTTTCTGCTTTCTTTTCTGGTCTCAGATACTGGAAGACTGAGATAGACATTATTTCCTTCCTCTCTAAATGGTTTATTTTAGGTATCACATTTTGGGTGGTGTCTAAAGACTTGTCAGTGAAGGAGGAATTCCTATTAAACCATAGCTCTGCCCAGGATAACATTAGTGATCCTCTGCTAAGGAAATGATAGACTAATCAGGAAAATAGCATAGTTTATAAAGTGATCTAAAGTTAAATAACTGATGGATTTTTAATAATTTCAGAAAGGGCTTTGACAAAAATTCAAAAAACTAGTAGTAGTAAAAATCCATTATTTCTTATTGTAGGCAGTCTCATTTCCACAATTCTCTAGAAGACTCGAGAAACAGGCTACTCGGTGAGTTTCATTTTTTTATATGATGACATGGTGGATGTTTGTGATAGAACATGCAGTGTCCACATATCCAGTAATAGTCTGCAGAAGCAGGAGAGCATGGGTTCTCATAAAAGATGTGATTTCTCAGACTTTGGAAATGTAGATGAATAGAATAATGCACAGAAGAAGGACATAGAACACTTGAATGACTTGTAATTGTGTCCTATACCAAAGGCTGTGCAAGAATCTCAGGTCCATGAACCCAAAGGCCATCTTGGTCATCTTTGTTTTCCTGACACTAGCACAGTACTTATATTTTGTGACTTCCCAACACACTGAACTACTTAGGAAATGGTTTAGTTGGTGAGACCAGGTAAACGTTTGTTTTCAGCAAATCTAAATGCACATTTTAAAAAAAGATTTCAATGGCTGCTTTAATGGTACATAATAATTGTGCATTTTTATGGGGTCCATGTGATTTTTTTGATACATGCATGCAATGTATAATGATAAAATCAGGGTAATTAAGGTATCTATCACCATGAACACTCATCATTTCTTTGTGTTAAGAACATTTCAAATCTTCTATTTTAGCTATTGTGAAGTATAAAATAAATTATTGTTCACTATAGACACACTACTCTGCTATTGAACACCAGGACTTATTCCTTCTTTCTAATTGTATGTGTGCACCCATTAACCAACTTCTCTTCATCCACCAACCCCCATCCCCAGCCTCTACTTTCTACCTTCATGAGATCAACTTTTTAGCTCCCACATATAAGTGAGAATGTGTGATATGTGTCTTTCTGTGCCTGGCTTATTTTGTTAAAAAATGATACTTAATATTTGTATATAATTATAGAGCACATGTGATATTTTGATACATGCTTAGAATGAAAATGTACAACATTACTGACCCATTTTTTAAAATCCAAGAAACAAGATAAATAAGTTTTCTTCTCTAGGGAAATCTGTAAATAGTACATGCTTCTAGGATTAAGTCAGGGATAGGCCTTGTTTCACTTTTATTTTTGTCATTTGTAAAATAAATCCCTAAATCCAAATAATTGCCTGAATTTTGAGGCTTCTGCTCATCTGTACCCTCCCTACTTTTTAATCTCTCATCCTTCCCCCTGCATCCTTATTTCCTTGACCCTAGATAAACAATCATATTTTTGCCTACATTCTAAATCTTTCCATTCTGCTCTGCACTCCTTTACTGATTATTTTGTTAGAGCCTTCCATTATAATCGTGCTGAGATAGAGTTTCTCAGGGTATTAGCAATTTAGAGTTGACTAATGGTCTGGAGGTGGAAGGAAACAACTATTCTAGGGCACAGGCATGAGTCAGATCTTCTGGTTAATAAAGTGGAATTAAGTTATAAGAATAAAGTGAATGAATTTTAATATATGCAAGAGTAATGGAAACTGTGATTTTACAGTAATGGGTTTCAAACTATCAATTATAACCCATGCAAGGGACCTAGATTCACTGCAGATTGTTCCTAGATATATTAGTGGGATAAGCTACTATTACCCAAGGGAGAAGTAAAATATTGGGCATCTTCAGTAAAGGAATGAGAGGCAAAACTGAAAATCATATTCTACCTAATCCACACCTATGTTAGGATATGGTCAATATGCCTCAATAAAGATCTTGAAGGAGCATAAAAAAGTTCATATGAACAACTGGTAGAGAAATGATGACATTTGTGAAGTCAAGACTGGAATAATCACATGCTTGTTTATAAATCCAGGAATGTCAGACTGAAGCCCCTCTAACCCTGCTTTGCTCCTCTTAGAAATTTGAACCGACTCATTTACAGAAAATAAAAAGGAATATCTACTAATAATGCTACCATGTTATTATATATGCTTCTATAATATCAAGTGCTAGATTACATGTTTCAAATAATTAACCCATTTAATTATCATGCCAGCTTTACTAAATATTACCATATTCAATTTACAAACAGAATAGTAATTGAATATTATTTTCAAAATTCTGAGGAGCTATTGAGAATTTAAGAAGGAGAGCTCCGTGAGCAGACTTTTAAAGAGTCTAATGACAACATCCAGTAGGAAGACTTAGCCTAAGGTCAACTGATCTGAGGGAAATTAGTTAGGAGGCCAGTGCAGTGATCATAGAAGATGATAGTGGTGGTCAGAAGCTGGGCATTCATTGAAAGAGGACAGAAAGGAGAGAGTTTCAAAAAGTATTGTCTTCGGGTAGAAAAAGTGAGGAAGGTAATTAGGATGACTCTCAGCTTTCTGGATGGAGATAATGGTTAAATATGATGGATATTATCAGTCATAAACATGAGCTTAAGGGGCAAGATGAAGTCTGCCCCAGTACAATCTCCCATGCTGGGTTCACTGTGGGTAAAACAGAGAAGGTGGGCCAACTCATTTCTATCCCCAGTATAGATTGGAATGTGCATAACTGAAGTAAAAATAGAATATCTAGTTCTTCTCTGATTAAATAAATTTTATTTTTGCTCTCACACTAGAAAAGCCTATTTCCTACTTGAAGAGATGCTTAAATTCATTTTGTCCTTTCCTTGGCCTTTGGCTAAAATTCAAGGAGATAATCTAAGTATTGCAATGCCTTATCAAATCATTATTCATGATTCTAGGGGATATTGGTTGCAGGGCCTTTAGGAAGATGAGCCAGTAGAAATGCTTCCTTTTCTAGTCAGTCTTTCATGATCACTGGGGATTTTAGATGCAGAATTAAGACAAATGAAGACTAGGACCCGGGGTTCTGGGGAGATGTCATTCTAAGGACTCTCACAGGGCATTTGGTATTGAATGCTGCTGACAGTGTTGAAAAGATATCGGTCTTACATATCTTTTATCTTTCATTAGGTCACTGTTCCTTATTGGATCCTGGAGATTAATTAAGAGTGTGTTAAGGAGGAACGATAGAGCTGGGCACATTCAATGTATCATCTGCTTGTTCCTTGACCTAGACCCACCTCTTCAATGGCCAGGTAGTTGCTTCTTTCTTTCTTCACACTGCTTTATTGAAGTAAAATGACTATAAAATTCACTGCTTGTATTTAATGTATACAATTTAAAGAGTTTACTATATGCATATGCCAGTGAAAACATTACCACAATTAAAATAATAAACAATCTATCACCTTGAAAAGTTTCCTTGTATGCCTTTGTTTTTGCTTTGTTTTGTGGTAAGACATCTAACATGAGATCTGCCCTCTTAACAAATTTTTAAGTGCATAACACAGTTTCCACTATGGAAAATAGTATGACGGTTCCTCAGAATATTAAGAATAAAACTATGATATGATCCAGTAATCACACACTTGGGTGTGCCATCAAACGAAACCAGGTAGTTAGTTCTGCAAATTTATTTTGTTTCTACTTTCCCTCTCATCTCTAACTCTAGCCTCAATCCCAGGGTCCTAGGATAAACTGTAGTACCAAAGACGAGAGTGGGGAGAGGTGGTGATTTTGAGCAATTGGCCAATAACTGAACACTGATGACCCCTGGGGTCTGGGGCATTGCTCAAAGGATAATCACGCTTTACTGAAAACTTTGGTCCAGGCTATTCTCTTTTGTGATTGACTTATCAACTTTCTTTCCTTTGCCCAGTTCTCTTCAATCTAGACCTACCTCAATGCCAAAGCCAAATTCCACTGATGTGCCTGAGTTCCTCTTTGAAGGTTTCTCTGCCTTTGGGTGGCAGCACAGGCTTGTCTTCTTTGTTGTCTTTCTAACTTTATACCTGCTGACTCTCTCTGGCAATGTGATCATCGTGACCATTATTCGCCTGGACCGTCGCCTCCATACACCAATGTACTTCTTCCTGAGCTTGCTGTCCATCTCTGAGACCTGCTACACTGTGGCCATCATTCCCCATATGCTTTCTGGCCTCCTAAATCCTCTCCAGCCCATTGCCACCCAAGGCTGTGCCTCTCAGCTCTTCTTCTATCTCACCTTTGGCATCAACAACTGCTTCTTGCTCACAGCCATGGGATATGACCGCTATGTGGCCATCTGCAACCCCTTCGGTATTCGGTCATCATAGATAAGAGGGCCTGTGTCCAGTTGGCATCTGGGTCACTGGGAATTGGCCTGGCCATGGCCATTGTGCAGGTAACATCTGTATTTGGCCTGCCCTTCTGTGATGGCTTTGTTATCTCCCACTTCTTCTGTGATGTGAGACCCTTGCTGAAGCTGGCCTGCACAGACACCACTGTCAATGAGATCATCAATTTTGTTGTCAGTGTCTGTGTCCTTGTCCTACCCATGGGCCTGGTCTTTATTTCCTATGTCCTTATCATCTCCACCATCCTTAAGATTGCTTCAGCTGAAGGCCGGAAGAAGGTCTTTGCCACCTGTGCCTCCCACCTCACTGTGGTCATCATCCACTATGGCTGCACCTCCATCATCTACCTCAAGCCTATGTCCCAGAGTTCCCTGGGGCAAGAGAGACTCATCTCAGTGACCTACACCGTCATCACTCCCCTGCTAAACCCTGGCGTGTATAGCCTGAGGAACAAGGTCAAAGATGCTCTGCATAGAGCCATGGAGCAGAAGTCCCTCACCCCTTAATGAGAGAGATTATGACAGCTTTTTCTTTGTGTTTAGATGTATTAATTTTTATGCTATTTCAATTATGCTTTTAAGTATGGGATCAAGAAGACTGGACTAAACTGAATTAGGTGCTAAAACTGATGCTTTCCTTTTGGGATAGTCATTGTTCTCTGTGCCCTGCTCCAGAGCAGTTGGAGAATATCTTGGCATACACTTAAAATGTAGAGGAAAATGTACATGCCTGGGCTGCGCATCCCCAGGTGTACTCACATACACATGTACACAACTACACACACTCTGATAATATTTTGAGTTATACAACTCCATTAAAATACAAAATCTGCAGGATTCCAAACAGCCAATGAACAAAGGGTTTGAAAGTCACCTCAGAAAGATTTTGTTGTTGCTATTGTTAAGGGTGTCAGAGCAAATTGTACAACCTTTTACAAGTAAGTGAGGAGATACATACGCATATACATTTCTGTGGACATTCAAGGCTTTTTTTGTAATCTGTTCTTGCTACTGCTTGTTAATACCCCATCACAGTCTGGAGACTCTTCAAAAGGCTGCATGCACTCTTTCTAGTGATAGACCTGCCTTGACTGACCTGGGAATAAGGAGTGCAAATGTGGGAAAGCAAAAAAACATCGGTTGCAGAGAATACAGGTGGGTTGTCCATTGTCCTGAGATGCCTAGATCAGAAAACAGATTGAAAAGTAGAGCGTGCTGAAAAAGATAGAGGTTGGAAGGAGCCAAGCAAAAGTATAGTTCCTTTTACAGAGAAGACATAAAACCCTGAAATAGTGTTATAAACATAAGCACTTTACCACTTCTGAAAAAACATTTATTAATGAAGTCTGAAGTATAACTTAAAAATTTTCCAGTGAACTCCTCAGCCTGCCAGGGTAAGTTTTCAAAAGTTTCTTCTTGGATGCACCCAGTTCTAATCCTGAGTTGAAAACAGCACCTCACTTCTGAGCATCACTGAAAGTGAAAGTGTATGCTCTGGTGCAAGGGAGGATCTTCTCTCTCTCATCCTTCCACTCCACTCTGGCCTATACAAAAAAACAAACACACGCAGAGTTCCAAATACAGTTTCTGTGGTATCCAGAATCCATCTGATCCAATGGGTTGACAATGCAGAGGCAAGATATCACATGTGAAAGGGTCATGGATTCTACTGGGTGCTGAAAATGAGACAAGTTTGTGGAAATGAACAAATCCTTTAAATCAAGTTATTGCATCTTGCTTTGCAAAACACACTATCATGTGAAGTCTAGCTAGGAATAAAAGATATCTTTGCTTTAGTGCTCAGATTTCTAGAAATGATAAAGGTAGCTCATTTCTGTGAGGCTAGACAAAAGATAATTTTTAAAAATTTGCTTGGTAGTTCTGCTTAATATAGGAAAAAGTTTTCGAGTAAAGGTCTGAAGGTCAATGTCACCCTGTCTTCTATCTGAAGATGTCTCTGGTGAATCCTGCAACACACCACCCAGACTGCACCCCTTTGGGACTCACACGTGCATTTCCCCAGCTTCTGGAAGTACTTTGCTTGGGCTGATGGCTCTCAGCTGAAGCCCTCTTCAGGAATTGTCCATGCTAAAGAGTTGCTTCCCCCAAGGTCACACTTTCTTTCCAGGAATATATTGCCTCCAATAGTTTGTCTTTTTCAGAGTATTGCTTCACTTTAAAACAGTTATGAAGAGCTCTCCCAGCTCCAGAACTCTCATTTGTGAGATGGTCTGAAGTCTTTGCTGTGACTAGATCACATTTCAACTCCTTTCTCTGCCCGGTCCTGCTGTCTTCACTCCCTCACAGGCGTAGATTATGAAAGAACCCCCCAGTAAACTTGTGGGTTCAAATCTCTCTGATCCAGAGTCTGTTTTCTGGGGAACCAACCAGCAACATTTTAGAATTTTATTTCTAGACTAGCAATTGACATAAGTGAAGAACCCAAATTTTCAGCCATTATGTAGTCCGGTAAAGGCAAATCAATGGCACCCATATTTTTAAAAATAGTTTCAAAAAAAACTTCATCCTATTTATTGAGCTATATTACTGTGACTCACTTTAGCTGGCAGCAGTGCAGAGTTATCTTTTTGAAAACTGGTTAAAAAATTAAAATCTGAGCTTTTTCCAGAAGCCATAAGAAATAATTCTTTTCTCTTAAAAAAAAATTCTCTGTGAGCAATTTCCGTTTCATTGTGGCCTGATGTCACCACCTTTCAGTGAGATTGCTGGCCACTGTCAGTGATATTTGAAAAAATTGAAAATAACAGGAAATACTGAAAGTGGGCCTGTGCCATTTCAATTTTCAGGAAGGAAAAGAGTCTGGGTCCCATAAGTGAAATACACAAGTGAATTTGATTGCGATTTGGGGCACATTTATGGAGAAAAAAGTCTGTGGTGGGGATGTTGTGGAGGATGCTGAGGTACCAGATGAGGGCTTGGACTTGGTAAGTGACTGTCCAGAGCTGGGCAGATTATCTACAGCAGGAAGACATCTCCACTCTCTGAGGCTATCTAGAGACCTAGGCTGGCAGGTGGCTCTGCCATCTTTAACACAAAGCTCCCATCTCTGAGTTGTCACTATTTCCCATTTAATGATAAGAGGGAACAAGTAGAACTTCTTCAAGTACTCAACTTCCCAGCATGCTGACCAGGTGGAACATTTGTCTGAATCTCCACTCTAGAGGTGGCCAAGGCGATTTTTCTTCCATTGGTCACCAATAGGAAGCTGCTACCTTAATTTTCAGAAAACCAGATTCTAATTATTAAGAATTCATAGTGATCTGTGTCTGCCAACTGGGGACAGCAATCATGGGAGATAAAATGTTGCTCTATGGACTGGCCTAGACAAGTTTGGTAATAGATCAGAGGTGATGGAGGGGCCCTTGAGGGTAAATCTAGGGTGAATTATTTCTATTCCAATCATCTTCATAACATATGCATTCCCTCTCTGACACATGAGAAAGTGGTTCATGTATATTAACATATAAAAGCATCTTTATAAATGCCATATTTTGGGGGGGGTCACAAAATATTCAAGCTCTAACTCCACGTCCCACATTCCCTTTGGAGCAGGACATGTATGACTATAAAGAAGAAAATAGGAAGAAATGCATGGTAGACACAAGCCTGAGACAAACCTGGCCTTTAGATACTGTCCATGGAAGAGAACAGTGAAGGGAGAGATCAATGTGTAGAGGATGAAGGAAAAAAGTCCCACCGGAGCTTCTTGGGGAAAGCGTTCTGAGCCTGTGTGTCTGCATAATCACCACATAAGTACGTTTGACAAGGCAAATATCTGGGTTCCAAGGAAACTTCAAGACTACCTAGTCTAAATCCCTCCTTTTTTTTAACAAAGGAGAAATAGGATCTCAGAGACTAGCAAGTAACGTGGCCCAATCACACAGCTAGTTAGCAGCTAACTCCAGACCTGTGTTCTCTTCACAGTCCTCTCAAACTTGGAGTGAGCATAAAGGGAGAGATAAAAGTGAACTGTATCAACTCAAGAGCCTAGAAAATCTCTCATAAAATGTATCTCAAATTGATCCAGTCCAGACTTTCTACCCACACCCAGTACCTCTCAGTTCTGAACTCTTGAGTCATTGGTCTCTGATCCCTCTGTGAAATAAAGGAGTAACATTCTGTCTGGCCCAATGGCTATGGTGCTGATGCACTCTGGGGAACATTGTGGTACAAGGTGTGGTTGATTAATGTGGCAAGACTGATCCCAAGACTATAACCCAAGGTAGACTTCAGGGAGACGGCAGAGGAAGCGTCCTGGAGCAACACCAGGGAGCCTCCTAGGAGAACTTCTCCTGGCCTGTTGTTGCAGGAGAAATCTCTTCTCCGTTCATCAGACATATTTACTACATGAAGCTAAGTGGCAAAGTTGTTCACTGAGAATATGGACTTTTCTTACTCCTCAAATAATTTTTTTTTAAGGAAGAAAGTGTGAAGAAGGGTCATACCAGATACCTATTTAAATTTTATTTTATTATATTTTATTTTATTTTATTTTATTGAGTTGGAGTCTCACTCTGTCGCCCAGACTGGAGTGCAGTGGCCACTCCTGGTCACCACAACCAGTGGCCACTCCTGGTCACCGCAGCCTAGACCTGCTGGGCTCTGGCGATTCTTCCGCCTCAGCCTTCCAAGTAGCCGGAATTACAGGCATGCGCTACCACGCCCGGCTGATTTTTTAATTTATTGTAGAGATGAGGTCTCACCAAGTTGCCCAGGCGGGTCTCGAACCCCGGGGCTCAGGCAATCCACTCACCTCAGCCTCCCAAAGGCGCGGGATTACAGGCTGAGCCACCGAGCCCAGCTACTTATTTAAATTTTAAACAAATGAAAATAAAATTTTAGTAATTTATCTCTATTTTGTGGAATTTGCGGGTCTCATGAACATTTCAATTTTATTAGCTGTTCTAAGGCATAAGTTAGCTATGGACACCATCTCTCACCAACTTCCATGCACTCCCATCCAGCACTGACAACATGCTGCCTCTCTTCCCTAGTGCTTTCCGTAAGCTTCCAATATAACCATTGCCATGAGCATGGGGTGTGGGAAAGGGGTACAAAGGCAAAGACTAGGTCTCATATTGGTGCTAAAAATTCCTAAATTTTTACAAATGTTTGCAATTTACAAAAGACTTTCAGGCACAGCCTCTGACTTGATTCACAAAAGAACCATAAGAGGTAGTTAGGATAACTATTATCATTTTTATTTTACAAATGAAATGCTAACACTCGTGAATGTGTAAGAAGATTTTCCCAAGTCACACACTTACAAAGTAGAGGAGTCAGGATCTGAATCTATGCATTCTCCCATATCGTTTAGTCTCTTTCTAATGAATGACTTCACAATAGGCAGAAACTTAATCCCATCCATTCCAAGATAGAAGCCTGAACCTCCAATGAGGACAAAAAATGAAAGAGAAAATAAAGAAACTAAACTGTCTAGTTCTTTTGCCTGAGATTTTATTCAAGTCCTGTTTTCAGAGACGAGAGTTGCTTGCTATAATTTCTCGAAGATGCTTAGTTCAGGTGCTGTACAGAAATACAAGCTATATATTAAAGATATGACTTGGGAGATATTAGTATTTATTTATTATTTTAACGATGTGGGGTACAATTCAGAGGTAGGTATACAAATGTTCATGATACAGGTACCCTTGTTGATGAACTGAGCTCCTCTCTCCCCTGAGAGCTTCCTTCAATTGCCAATCCCATCCCCCTCCCCTGGCAGTTTCCCACTACTGCCAATCCCTTTCTTATAGTATTACGATAATTGTTCAAGGTCCACTTAGGAGTGAGAACATATGGTACTCTGTTCTTTGTTTCTGTGATAGATCACTGAGTATGATAGACACTAAATCCATCAAAGTTGCTGCGAAGTCCATATGTTTGTCCTTCTTTATGGCTGCATAATATTCCATTGTGTATATGTACCACATTTTAAAAAATTCAGTCCATGGGCAGCATGGTTGGTTCCATGTTTTTGCTACTGTGAATAGAGTTGCAACAAACATGTGTGTGCAGGTATCTTTTTGGTAGAATGACTTGAGTTCCTCTGGGCATATTCCCAATAGGGGGATTGCTGGGTCATATGGAAGGTCAATTTCCAATTCTTTCAGAAATCACTACTACACTGTCTTCCAAAGAGGTTGCACTAGTTTGCATTCCCACCAGAACTGTAGAAGCATTCCTTTTTCTCCACAAAGGCCAGCATCTGTTGTTTGTTTTGTTAATGATGGCCATTCTTACTGGGGTTAGAAAGGTATTAGAGGGTGAAGCAATAACAGGAGAATCCTAGACTGCACTTTAACCCCAGAGCCCTAAGGCTCAAGACTGCCTCTAATTCTATCCAGAGCCAGAAGCTCATAGATAGTAAGCTGAAGAAAGAGCATAAAAATTGTCAACTTCCCTGGCTTCCTACCATGTCTTCTCATTCCTAACTCATACTTAACAGTGGTCAAGAGAACTTTATGATTCTTGCCTCCAGAAGAAAACAAACAAGCAAACAAACTAGCAAGGCTTGAATACTTATAAGCCTTCTGTTACGGTGTTATACTTATTTTATTCAAATTGAATTTATCATTTGCAAATGCTAATAAATGAATCTATTTATTCTTTATTGTATTCAGCCAACTTTTATTGAGTACTTACTATTACACGCCACTTAACTGGTTTTAGGTGATTTAATGAAGCAGTTATATAAATCCTTGAGCACAGACTTCTCTATGTACATTGTAAGCTGTGTTTGACAATTGAGCAGCAATTGCTGATGCCGGAAAAAAAAAAAATTGATGTTGCAAATGTTTCTTGAGTAATGACATCAGTCCTTTTTGGTATCTGGCTTAGGATGTGGGTTCAGAGGTTTGTTGCCTTTCCTGGTCCTCTTAATCTTCAAGAGAAATGCGAACTGCTGCTGGGTCGAGATAAATAGCCCTGTGTCCACAATGAACAGAATCACCACCAACAATGGGATTAACAATTGTAGCCAGTAGTACTTGCTTTGGTGAGCTACAGTGGAACACAGATACAAGAAACATAATTCATATTAGGAATTGAAGAATGAGCTTCATCCTCCCTAAGAGAAGAGCCAAGCATGGTCCTCTATTTTTAGCATGATGTGGCATCCAGAAGCAGAGAGAAAACACTCAGATTGGGTTCCTCAGTTAGTGCTTCCTGGAGCCCTTCAGAGTCCTGAGCATGTTCCCACAATCCATGTCCAACAGTTACTTTAGCTAGTGTGCCCAAGGTGGGAAAGTTATAGGAAAGATGATCCCCTTGGAGCTGGCAAGACCAGTGTCCACATAATATGGGGGTGAAATGGAGACAGAGTGAGACCAGGAATCACCAATGCCTTATTTCTCAATTAATTAATCACCATTTCTTGTATGCCTTTATAAGAAATGAAGATATTGGACTAAGTTGCCTTCCAGTTCTATTATGGTTCTGTTATTCTACTTATACTCTACTGATTTCTGGGACTATTCTAAAATTGTAGAGTCTCAGCATATTACAACCTGAAGTCACTTAAAAATCACCTAGACCAGTAGTTCTCAACATCAGCTACATGATACCGTGATCAGAATGAGTTTTAAAAAATACCAATGCCCAAGAATCACTCTAAACCAATTAAATCAGAATACCAAGAGATGAGACAACGACATCAATTTTTTTTAAGTTCCTCAAGTAATTCTAATGGAGTCTAGACCAAATGATCTATTTTACAGATGAAGACACTGAACGTATAGAGATAATTAAATAACACTTTGTTCTCAAATTAGTTAACAGAGAACTGCCACTGGGTTTTAATTCTGAATTTTGGCCTTGTGCTTTTTTAGACATTAGTATGGACAAAGTGTACCAAGAAAAAAAAAAACTCTAATTTTCTCCTTGCAAAGCAAATATTTCAAAGCAAATATTTCTTATACGAAGTTTGAAAGAGCAGGTTTTTTTATAGGCCATAAAGACAGACCACCTACCTACCCACTTCTTACCAAGCCCTCCTCCCCTGGTATATTGGCCCTCAGTATACCAACTTGTTGGTATCCTTTCCCGGCCTTTCTAAGCTGGAATGGACTCTTCAACCTTTTTACATTCTTTGCTCCTTCAACTTTGAAACTTTCTTTCAATTTTATAAACATAAGTGTTCTCCCCAGGAGCAACAGATGACTTTGAGATTAAAATAGTAATCACAATCTGTTATGCTTGAGTAGTACTTAACAGTTTACAAAGTCATTTCACAAATATTACCACATTAATCTTCATAAAAGTTCTATAGTGTGAGCAGATATTACTATCACCATTTAACAAATCAAGACTCTAAGACAGAGACTGAGATATATACTATAACTCAGGGATTCTTGTTGCAAGTAGTTACAAGTCTAGTAGCTTTTCCTGTGTATCACAGGTGTCTCCATACTACAAGCTGCAACCGCTCCAGGCTCAGACAACATTTCTTCCTTCCTCCACTAGAGCCCCTTTTCCTTTCCTTTACCAACTCACCTTTTATTACAGTAATGTTGAGGGGATCAGAGGTATACTTCAGCTGCTGGAGGGTGCCTGTGCAGTGATAGGTGCCACTGTCTTCAACTGTGGCATTAGCAATGGAGATATTGTGGTTCTCATACCAGTACTTGAGAGCTTTGCCATTCTTGTAATAGACCACCTTGTAGACATTCTGATCCTGCCAACCGTGGCACCTGAGGAAGAGGGGCTCACCCTCCGTCACCACCTGAGCAGAGACCTGAAGGAGCAGCCAGTCTGAAGAGCATTCATGATGTTATTTATTTAACAATAGCAATAAATGGAGAGAGAGAGAGAGAGAGAGAAGATGGATAGATAAAAGGAGGTGATGCATAAAGTGTGTGCCAGAAGCCATGAATTATCATTAACCCATTTCTTGGCTCATAAAGTCAATTTTTAAAAGACTCAAAATAATATTTAGAGCCTGTTGATTCATGCTCTCCTGAAAAGTCAGTCTGGGGCTGTGAAGTCTCTCAGATCTTTCTGCTGCACTCATGTATGGAAGAGTTGAAACCCAGAATTGCATTCAGATCCATTGTTGCTAGTTCTAGTCACTAAGGGGAAAATAAACACAGTCTGTCAGGGGAGTTTTAGCTCAGAAGAATGTCTATTTTCTCCTCTCTTACCTCATAGAATGTTCCCATTCCTACTGTTAATCATAGTTAGTCCCCAAACTTCCTTAAAACATATATCATATATCACAAATTAAATTAATTATTTGTGTAACTCTTTATTTAATGTCCTCTTCTAACCTAGCTCTACGCTCCAGAAGACCAGAGGCCCTGTCTGATTTCACATTGTGTTTTCAGTGCCTGACACAATATGAAGGAGTGTGTAGGTACTCAACAAATATTTGTCAATAATGAGTCAGCAAAAGACAAGAATCAGATTCTATAGTTAATGCTATTGTAAAACTGAAAAGCATCCTCTAAGGGAGAATTTTGAATGAAAATATGACTAACTTATAAAAGCATATTTTATTTAGGACTAATCCTTGAGGACTTCTCTAGAATCTACTCAAAGAAAATAAAGAAACTATTTTATGTTGCTTTAATTTGTACTTGGAATTTGCATACCGATGTTAAAACATCTCTTTTCGGACTGGACAAGATGGCTCACACGCGTAATCCCAGCACTTTGGGAGGTTGAGGCCAGGAGTTAGAGATCAGCCTGGGCAACACAGCTTGATGCCATATCTACAAAAGATTTTTTTTTAAAAAAATTAGCCAGGTACAAGCCTGCAGTCCCAGCTACTTGGGAAGCTGAGTCAGGAGGATCCCTTGAGCCCAAGAGTTTGAGGTTATAGTGAGCTATGGATCATTGCATTCCAGCCTCAAGGACTGAGCGAGACCTTGTCTCAAAAAAAAAAAAAAAAAAAAAAAAAAAGTCTGTCCACTCAAGAGAAAAATATAAAATGACTTCTTGGTCACTATTTGAAATCATTAGTTTATTCAGCCAGCATCTACTGATTAACCCATAAATGCCTAAGCATGCTGTGCCAATTACTGGCAGTAAGAGAGTGATTAAGATAAAACAAACATAAGATTTATTCCTAAGTAACAGTGGAGGACACAAAAAATATACACAGAAATCTTTCATAGTGAAAAGTACAACCTAATAATTGCATCGTGGCACAGGGATCATGCAAAGCAGATCATTAAATCAAACTTTTTGATCCTATTCTAGACACACTGCTCTTTGAAATGTCGATATATCCCCATGCCATTTGATCACATAATACACATCTTCATCTAGGAAGAAAAGGTGGTTAGAGGAAAGCAGAGGAACAATATTGAGAGATGACCAGAATATTAAAAGAAGGCATAGGAGTAGGCAGAAGGAGTAGAGGTAGAAGAGGAAGGATGGAGGGGTCTTAAATAAGAGGCCCTAAGTCCCTTCCTGGTGCCCTAAGCCTTGGGACAAGCTTTCTTCCCCCATCTTCAGATGGGCCATTCCTCACATGGGAGATCTATATTTCCATGTTGCTGTAACTTACCACTGAAGACTTCCAGGTACACAGGTTTACTCTGGTTAAAGTTTTGGTTTTGACATTTGTATTCCCCACTGTCCTTGAGGTTGGCATTCACAATGTTCAAGCTTGAAGTTGTCACGACTGAAAGGCTTCCGTTGTGGATCCACTTAGTGGAGTTGACTTCAAGGGAATTGTTCTTGTTACATATAAGAGCAACATTCTCTCCTCTAAATATTCTATTCCATGGGGGTTGCAAGGACACTACAGATTTCCGGGAGGCTTCAAGATTAAATTATGGAAAGAGATATAGAGGGAAAAAAGTCATTTAAAATTGTTCAGGCTTAAAAACACAAATATATCAACATTCAGACACTCAATGGTCAGTCTGTCCTTGTACTGTTGGTGATAAGACCCTGTCCTGATTCTTAGTGGAGGATTAAAGGACAGAGGAAACAGTGTATGTGGCCCCTGAGAGTTCACAACCTAGGGAGAAAGAGAGGACACATATTCAGGAGATTTAAAATCACACAAATAAACAAACCAGTTATTATATGATTTGAGATAACTTATTAGTTCACTTAATTTCCATTCAGCATCTGTAAATGAGGATTTCAGTCTCTTTTCAAGCAGAGACAATATTTGTCGTGCTCAGACACTGCTCAGCACAATGGCTGGTACATAGTAAGTGTTCATTAAATATTTATCAGGTGAATGAAAGAGTGAATTATGGATGGATAAAAGTATTGGACTGGATGAAATATAAGGTCCTTCCAAGCTCTAAATATTTATGACTGTTTGATTGTGAGTGTATGTGGAGTGCAAAATATATGTCAATTCTTTAAGGTAGTGAGAAGCACCAAGAGAGTCACTTGAATGATTTCTGGGAACAAAGGAATGGCACAAAATTGAACAGAGACAAAAGAAGTGGCTAGATGGTGATGACAAAAGGGAGACACAGCCAAAGGAGAAATGGACTTGGATCCAAGGGACTTGTGTTGGAATCCAATTCCTTGATAGCTGTGTAAACTTCAGCAAATTACTCAGTCTGAGTTTCAGCATCTTCAATTATAATATAACAATAATAATAATGTAATAATTGAATGAGTTAGCCTAGGAGAAAGACTGAGATTCATATATGAGCAACAGACACGACCACTGACTTAAACAGAGGAGAGGATGACTTGAGAATGAAATGGTATATGTGAGGAGCTTTTGAATGAGGGAAAAGAAGGAAGACAAGGCAAGATGGAGATAAGAAGCAGACTGACCAGGGAGGAGCACTTTCATACTCATTAGAGAACAGAAGTGATGGGATGAAGGAAACACTGAGGGGAGAGTAAGAACTAGACACATTGAAGAGCTAATGGAACAAAGACAGAAGACTCACCTGCTAACATGCCGTCTGGAGCTGCAAAAGTCCAGAGAGGATAAATTAGAGTCTATTCCCAGTCCTCTGGACCTCTGCCTCCAAAGGGATCTGGGTATGGGATGAGAACTACATCTGTGGAAGTTTAAGAGCCAACCGTCTTCTCAGGAATCTGACTCAGAGGGAGAAGGAGCTTCTCTCTTTCCTTCATCCTCTCTTCCTTGGTAGTAATCTTGCACTCTGGAAGATGCCAGAGCAGCTGCAAGAAACCAGGTTCATAGTCTGGCTTCCCCTCTTAAGTGTTGTTCAGCATGGTTTCCTCTGTTTTTCAGCTTGCCTCTACTACAGAGCCCCTGGAAAATGCCCCATGGTTTGCATATGTCATCATCCAAACTGTCAAAGTTCCCACCCCAGCTGCTTCCCAGAGTCATTTTGATGCCTCCCAAACGGGTCATTGAAGATCTACTTACCAAAGAGCAGCAAAGCTATCCACAGCAGGGCAGAGCCTTCCATGGGAGCAGGCATCTCCTTCACGAAATCTAAGTACTGACTCAGCTGGGGAGATCTATGGCTTCAAAAACAGACACGAAGCCAAAAAGCAGAAGGAAATGTTTTCTGTGTCATATCCAGTTAACTTATCAGCTGCACTAGGGTTTGCTTCTTTCTCTGGAGATAATATTCAGGGTGGTGCCAAATTGGGTAATTTTATATTTACCCTTACTCCACTCTCTGTCCCACCTTCATTTATACACCTGGACCCTGGTGGGGGAAAGGCATAGGTCTAGGCACAGTTACAGACCTTTCTTCACCTGTCAATCAATGTACAACTATTTAGTTGTACACCTCACAGAGAAGTGAGGTGCAGGGAAGAGCAGAGTAAAATGACAGCAATTAATTACTGAATACCTAATATGTGCCAGGTATTATGCTAAATACATCTAATATTCCATTCATTTTTCACAATAATCCTAAGAAATAAGTATCATAACTGTCTATATTTTTATCAATAAGAAAACTGTATCTGAACGAGGTTAAATAACATCTCAGGGTACCAGTTATTAAATGACTAATTTGAGATTCAACACATAAAATATAACTCCAGAGTCAAACTTTTAATCGTTATGATACGTTGTTTGTGCATATTAAGGAGTATGACCAACAATTGCTAAAATTCTTTTGTGGTTCATCTGAGCTACCAAAAGTTTTGTAACTTAATTTCCTGCTTATCGGTTGGTATACAAATATGCACATTTTCATCTAATTTGCTGATGATCCACTATTTGCCCAGCCAAGTTGGAGATATTTTCAGAGGCTCCTTTTTATCTAGTGGTCCCTGATCTAGCTTAGAACACAGGAAGGCCGATGTCACCATCACTTACAGAGATCGAGGACATGTAATTTATTTTATTTTCCAACATTTCTTCATTTTCTATTTTATAATTTTCTAGCATGACCACTCTTTCTCTATTAACTACACATCAGGACTCCTCCAGACCTTCTTTGACTGTCTTCTGTTTTTCAATTCTAGGTGAAGGTTGGCCACTCTCTTTCACACTCAATGTTGATGATGATAATGGAGACAACTCCATAAATATCAATAACGTTTGCCATTTACTTTTTTTTTTTTTTTTTTTTTTGGGTTGGGG